AATAAAACCTCATGAATCTATGATTGATAAGGCCCAATAACTTGGGCCAGATAATGCGTTTCCAAATCATGAGCGGCCCAATAGTTAAAGGGCCTGCTTTATGTCAGCCCAATCTTGCAAATCGCCATTGTAGTTTGTTTCACAACGGCCCACTCGAGAAATATATGGCCTAGTTCAACATTCATGCCAGTGCCATATTTTAATTTTTAATAGTTAAATATATATATATATATATTTTAAATCATAATATTTTTAAAAGTTTTAGAAGCCTTCTATCAAATACTAAACAAATATTTTTATCAGTTTTTATTATTTATTTATATATATATCTCGTTGAATATCCAATTCAGTGTCTATACAATTAAAAACCCAGCCAGGTAAAAAAAAAAAACCCTCTTAATAAGGTTTTTATTTTTCAAATATTGTATTAAAATGCGGAAAAGATAAGAAGATTTTTGATAACTTCCTATGAAGATGCACGTTTTTTTTTCACCCATAATTCTCCATTCATCTCTAGACTCGACTCCTTCCCTAATTAGTGAAAATTTTGCAACTCTCTCTTCCTATACTATATTTACAAAAATGTACAACTGACCCTACATTCTTCCTTTCTTAACTTATAGCAATTGGTTAAAGTATAGATTGCCATATTCAAACTTTTAAAAAGGCGCAAAACATATAGAAAAATAATCATTAAAAAACACTAAAATTGGTAAAAAAAAAATGACACGTGAAAGATAAAATTAGAACTTTAAAAATATTWGTAAAAAAAAACTATAGGATACTTCAAGAACCAAACTATACAAATAATAATAATAATAATAGTAATATTAGGGTCCCATATTTTGGTGTGGAAAAGTTGTGTTGTGTGAATACAAATGTACACAAGAAGGGTTGTAAGTTCCAACTTCCATTACCCAATTTTGACAAATGACCCTTTTGAAAAAATGGGTTACCTAAGGATGTAAGAAAAGGTTGGTAGTTAGGTAGCCCAGTTGCCCTAACCAAAAAAATAACTTTAAAAAAAAAAAATCAATATTATTATTTCTTCTTCTATAAATTAAAATAAATAAATAAAATAATTAGTTTACAGACTTGTCCTCCAAGAATAAGGAATCCAAGCACATGGGTGGTGGGGGCATGGCAGCTTGTCCTTAAGCTTCAATTGTATCCAGCTTGTATGGAGCATTTTGGAGGACGAAACTACCCCCATCACCTTTACTTTTTTCCCCTCTAAAAACTAAATATATTCTAATCTTTTAGGTTTCATGACGATTTAATGCCATATTAGAATATCAGTTTCATATTAATCGAGCATAGTTCATGGTTAAAGTATATTAGTAACTTTTTTAGTAGGAAAATTTGAATCTCCGAACTCAAATTTGTAGTTATATTTGATTTAAGCTTTTGGATTTAACACGAAATAAAATAATATACAAAAATGAAATGTTAGAAACAAATGGAGAATCATTCTGGCTGCGGTTGACATTTAAGAGAATGTTCGGCTCCCAAATTTAGGATGACTTAATTTGTAAAGTGCTTTTATCTCTTAGTTAAGTTCATGTTGACCATAAATTCACCAAACATGTTCAATTCTTTAATGATGAAACACGTCACGATAAATGTGATGGACATGAAAAATTGTTAGAGAAAGCACTGAAAAATAAAAACAAATTTTTAAAAAGATTGTAGAAAAGTGAAAATGCAGGGAGCAAAGAGAGAAAAAAATAAATTGCTAAGATTGAGACAGCATTGGTTAGAAGAGATGAGGAAATTTCGCTGTGGTTGTGAAATTAAATTATGCTTTGCCGATCTCATTCATTATATTGCCCCCCCTCCTATCTATGTTTCCTCGACCCTACATCTTACTTGGGCGACAAATTAATTCGGTCTCACTTTTCATGTAATTGTTTTAGTTCAAACAAGTAATAGAAATGTCAAGAAGAAATCTAGCAAACGGAATCAAATAAAAGCTTTGGAGGCATTGGGTCGGTATTATTTTAGACATCTATTGAACTTAAAAAGTTTTTTTTTCCCCCAAGTACTTGAACTTCAAATTTTAAGATAATCGTTACAGTAAAATATTATAGGAGGAGTTTGAAACACAATATTGAATGTTTCTAATTCAAGGTGGATGCCTAGTCAGTCGAGCTGATGACCTGCATAGAGACCCTTGTATCAAGCGAATCGAACTTTAGTAAGTATTATGTAGAAATTGCRTACCTTTATGAGAAAGGACTTTGCTTTTTAAAGTAGAACTTTGAGAAGAGCGTTGTCCTGTTATTTTGGTGCTCTTTACCTGATAGTCAACAAATTATCTACCAATGGCTAGCATATCTTTTACAATTGATATCCACATCTTCGATTCCAAATAGGGGGTTCCCGCCAAATAATCAGAGGCGGGTTTTTCGAGCCCTTCTTGTCCTCTCGACATGTCCGAGTTGCGGCCCGACACATGTTTTTTTGGTAAGATTGCCACGTGGTAGGTTCTGACCTCCTTTCTAAATAAGTATAAATTCTCAATGACTTTATTTTTTGAAAATGTGAGTATTTTTATTGAAATATTGAAAAAATAACAAGGTCGGTAAAATATTTTTGAAAATGTTAAAAAATAAATAAATAATTGTAAAAAATATTTAAATTAACAAGTAATCAATTTAACATTTCTAAATAATTTAAAATGAACCATATTATTATTATTATTTTTTGGTTATTTTTGATATTTTGTTAATCTTTTTGTAATATTGTAGAAATATAGATTGATGTCAAATTATAAAGGCATGAAGATATTGATAGACCAAAATTAGGGGATTTAAAAAGAAAAATTAAAGAATGGTAAGACTGGCAATTGAAAATTTTCCCCCGTAATTAAAAAACAAAAAAGGGTCTGAATTCAGATTTAAAATAAAGACCCAAGTGAAGCCGTGATTTTTGCGTTTAATTCGTTTTCTTTTAAGTTTCACCTTTGACTTTCAATAATTTTCTGGTCAAAATATTCAGAAAAGGAAACCCACTTCTTCTGGGCCGTACGGAGCCCTGACCCGGGCCCATTTCGCACCGTCTAGGTCTTATTGGCCAATCGGTACTCTTCTTTCCGTTTAATTAATTGAATTTCCCTTTTTCAAAAGGTTTTATTTATTTATTTTTGTCGACCTCGGAAATACTTTTCTTCCATTTCCCACGTTTTCTCCTCCGACTTCTAAAATAAACAGAATTTCTGTCCACAATCGGTCCATTTTTTTAATTTTCAAATTAAACTCTAAATTGAAAGGGTAGTGAAATTTATACCATCAGTTAATTTGCTTTTTTAGACTTTTCTTTTCTTATAATTGAGCTGTTTACGAGTTTTGAGTATTAATAAAAAAACTTTAGTCCTTTTTTGAAGGTGTCTTAGAAGGATACGATGCATGTACATGTCGATAATATGAAAATACAAGGACAACACAAATTCCAATAAAATATAATTTTTCCATATTTGACTAATTTATATATGTTCAAGTAATTTAATAATACAAATAACTAAATATATATATATATAAATAGAGAGAAATAGAGAGAGAGGAAAAGGATGCAATAGCTTTGGGCTGAGAGTCTGAGACCACTGCAATGTCTCCCCGGTCCTCCCCGTACGCCGCCTGCTTCCGCCGCTCCCCGTCCCCGATTCCGCCGCCGCCGCCGGCAATGTCCTCCGGCGGCGCCCACTCCAATCTGACGACCTCCATTTACGAAACCCCCGTGGCGTCCTTCTCCCTGACCTGGTTCCGATCCCTCTGGTCCCGCTCCGTCCAGCTTGACTCCGACCACCGGAATTCGTTCTCCGGCGCTCTCCTCCGCCTGAACCCCGTCGCCTTCTGGAAGAAATCCGGCTCCAAAATCCTCTCCCCGTCCTTCCGCCTCTTCTGGGACTTCACCGGCGCCCGCTTCGGCTCCTCCCCGGAACCCATCGCCGGATTCTACCTCGCTCTCCTCCACCACGGCCAAATCATTCTCCTCGTCGGCGATTTGGTGAAGGAGGCCTATGCCCGCACCAAAGCCCCCAACCCCCAAAACCCCCAATCCCTGGTCCTGAAGCGGGAGCAGGTAATTGCCCACAAAATTTACTCCACCAAAGCCACAATCGCGGGTAAAAGCCGGGACATCCAGATCGATTGCGGGTACAACGACGACAGCCGGCTCTGTTTCGCCGTCGACGGCGTTGAGGTTCTCGAGGTGAAGCACCTGAAATGGAAGTTCCGTGGGAACGAGAAGATCGAGGTGGAGGGAGTTCCGGTTCAGATCTCGTGGGACGTCTACAACTGGGTCTTTGCCGACAACGACGACGGCCACGCCATTTTCATGTTCCGATTCGACCAACACCAACACGGTTACGACACGTCGTTCCACAACGCCGGAATCGAAACCGGAAGAATGAGGATGAGTTCCTCGCTGTCGTCGGTTTCCATGTCGTCGGTGGGCTCCTCCGCCGCCAGCTCCTCCGTCCTCGACTGGGCAAGCGTGGAGGAATCCGAGCTCGGCGGCGGCCCTTCTGCCTTTTCTCTCCTCGTTTACGCTTGGAAAAGGTGAATTACCAGAGCATCAAATTTGGTAAAATCTTAATTTGGGAACTAATTTTTTCTTCCTTACAACACTACCACTGACCCCATTTGTTGATTAGCAGAATAAATTCTTAAAAACCCATCATCAAGATTAAACATTAGATTTGGTTAGCTACATAGATCTAACTTAGCAAGAAATTCGTCATTCTTTTTCTTGTTTATTCCTTTTTGTGGGATATGATTGATTGTATTATATAAGTATCCAGAAATTCTTTTTTCTCTCTATCTGTAATGGGAAACATTATAAGCATTTGTTGATTCCATCGCCTCTTCTTTCTTCTGTAATTTTAGAAATTTCCTCAGAACCAATGAAATTAGGAGTCAATAATTGAATGTTGATCTAAAATGTTTGTAAAAAAATGGTGAGATACTCTGTTGTCTGTTGGTTGGTTGGCTTCTATTATGAATTATGATTTTATGGGGTGTTATGAGAGAAGGAGAATTGTTTTAAGTCTGGAATTTCTTGGACTCAAAGAAGAGGTCCAAAACCACGTGGAAGCATTGGAGTGGTTAAAATTTGATTACGTTCTCGTGAAGTGGCAATGAGCGGATCTGGACCGTCAAAAATGTTGACCACGTGTTTGACTATGATTGGATTAGTGTTAGAAAGACAAGGAGCTGGTAAATCACGTGGCGGGGTTGCGTTATCGAGGTTTGGCTATTTGACCAAATCTATGTATTCTATTTTTATTAATCAAAGTAGCAGTGTATAATTATTAATTAAAAGATTCCTTTAACTTTAATTAATGGTTTTCGTTTTCCTATTTAAATTTTAGGTTAAATTAAAAAAAATAAAATAAAACCTCTGAATTTTGCCCTCCCTTTTCTAAAAAAACCTCGATCTTTTCAAATTTTTTTTTCTACTGATCTTACACATAATCTAGTCAATATTTCACAAAAATTAACTGTAAATTTTTTTATAACTGAACATTGAATGTTAACAAGATCGCTGCGTTTAGATTGCTAAGTAGTCCATAATGCTATTCTATTTATATTTTCCTTTTTCTTCTTAATGTTGCTACTTCATCATGATTCAAAATTTCTCTTAGAAAATTATGATTGATAATACCAACGTCTATAATTGATTTAACTTCTTTCCTCAATTTACCATGGCCCTGCGAGTACTGGGGAGGAATGCTCGTTTAAATTCCCCACTGGAAAAAGTATTTTCCCTATCACCTAAACGGGGATGGGAACGTTGAATGCTTTTCCTGTCTCCATTATTCCGCTTTTCCCACCCCCACCCCATCTCCCTTTACATATATACACACAGTATAAAAAAATCTTATTATTCTCCCTAGGTATACATATACTAAAAAAACCTTTATTTTCTCTATCCACACAATATATAGAGGATTAGACTATGTAAATAAAAATTTATGGTTGAAAATTAAGCAATTAATTAAAATGTCCTTAGAAAAAATTATTTAATTTTGTGGGAAAAAATCTCCATGGAGAACTTGATCTCAGTGAATTATCCGCAAGGAATCTCCACCCCGATCCCTGCAAAATTTCGTGGAGACTTTTGTAGGGATGGAGAATGAAATGGGGGGCGGGGACAATAAAGGCTTCTCCATCCCTGTCCCACCCTATAGACATCTCTAGAGACACGTGGACAAAACTTTCGCTAGTGTCCATTCAATAATAATTTTAATTTTTTTTTAAATAAGCTTACTTAATTATAATTTATTTGATAAGCAATTTCTTTTTCAAAAATTGAAATTGTAATTGTTTGGGGTCAAATTGGACATAGTCTATCATCAAAAATAAAGGAAGTTGGGCCCGGAAAGGCCCCACTCATTGAAGGAGAAACCATAGCAATGCACAATACATGACACAATGCATGGCACGGACCCTCTTCCCAACCGCACAATAAAACATTGGAAGGAGGAAAGTTGAGCGGACCCACCGCCTTGTGGCAGTAAGCCTCGATTTTGTGCGGCCTATTAGGTAGCACCCCTTTTTTTTCAAGCACTTTCTTTGACTATCACCAACAAAGCCCACCACCATAGCATGAATATTTAACGCAAAACACCAACTCACTATCTTTGCGCATCTATTGCTCTCATTATAGAGCGGCAGTTGACTTTGACAAAACTCCTTTGACCTTCCAACACTTGTTCACACTGCCATCAAAACCTATAAATAGAAGGAAAGTTTGTCATTCTCTAACTGACAATTCCACACTTGCTCATTTCCTCTCTTCTCCTCTTAAGCTCATCAAGTGACTTAAGCATCAGAATGTGGTAAGCTGACACCACGCCGGCATCCACTCACCTTATATTTTTGTAGGTCGCTTCCGCCTCGACTCCTAAATGACAAGATCTCGTCATTGTCCTACTCATAACCTACCCAGTCTCAGCTTCTCCTAGCTAAACCGAACCTCTCTTCGATCACTCAGCGGTCGATCCGATTCAACGACTTTGGGTCCGACGAACTTACCAAAAATTGCATCAACGGTAATAATAATTTTAAAATCAAACTTGGCCGAAAATTTAAATAGCAAAAACAAAAATGAAGAAATGATGGGTAATTTTTAGAGACAAAAAACTAAAAACCATTGTGCACTAAAATTGTTATGCAATTTTTGGTTATTTCTGTTAGATTTAAAACACGAATGGAAATTTAAACCTACAATCGTAAAGAGGAGTCATCATAAATTTTGCATTGATTGAGAAGTTTAAAAATAAAGAGGAGAGAGTGATATAAATTCAATTGTTGAGTGAACATTCGAATAAGATAGAAATGTTGGTAATTGTAGTTGTCACTTTTTTTATATGTAGAAAGAGGGAGCAGAAAAATGATTATTGGTGTTTCCAAAAAAAGAGAATGGAATGAAGGGTTCTGATATTTCAAGCTTTTGAGGCATTTGTCGATTACATGTTGCAGTGTTTTGCAATAATTCCTAAAGCCACGCCTTGTGTTACTCTCATCTCACCATCTCATCTCTACTCTTCACATTTCTATGCTTTTTACTTTTTATTAGTCTTTCCAATTAAGAAAATCCACCACCAAATCCACTCAAATTCAACTGAACTGAATTTTGTAGATAGAACAGAGGTACATATTGTCTAATAATTAAAATCATTAATTGAAAACTTTTTCCTAAATTACAAATTCGATGTAGGATTCTACCGAACTACCGAAGTCGGCTACATGACAAGTGGACGAGCTGGCGAAGTGTAACATTAAGGAAGATAGAACCTGCAAAAAGGATAAACAGACACTCCAACGCTCAAGGGAATAATGCTCACGTTCAAGTAGATCATTCTCGGACCAGAATTGTGTACGTGCTTGGATTGGAGGAATGAAGGTCATTTTATAGGTGGAGGGAAGGGGCAAGTCCATTGTGGCCGTTACAACAAAGTGGTTGGATGGTTACGGACCGTTGGTTCGTAGGTCGGCAATGATTGATGTTGGTTATTCATCCTTTCATATGGATGATCTTATAGCTCAGTCATGGATGAGCTTAGGAGTAGATGAGTTTAATAGTTCGATCCTACATGAGCTTAGGAGGTTGGCAATAGATGAGCCTAGGAACTTGGTCATGGATGAGCTTAGAAGCTCGATGATATATAGATGAGCATAGTAGATCGGTAGTAGATGAGCTTAGGAGTTTGACAATAGATGAGTTTAGTAGCTTGGTCATATCTCACCACGTGGCAGGTCATATTTTTGCCCCCAACATAATTGATATTAAATATCCTATAAATTTGCCGGATAACATAGTAATTAAGTGGATAAGACATTTATTATCATCCCTAAAATTGGATCTACATGGTCTCTACATTTGTTAAATTTTTTTAAAAAAATTGTTTGATATTTTAGCTATATAGCCATATTATTTGTGGGCGAAAATTTATTTCTCTTCGTTTGTCAAACATTGGTAATAATACAAATTAATTAAAAAAAAATTCAAACCCTTAACTTTATAAATTTTAAAACAATAACCTACTAAATTAGCGAAATCTTACAAATCATTTTACTTACTCTTATGGTTGGTAAAGTTGGCAAATCATGGTCTTCCATTAAACTAACTTCACTGAAAAGTTATTCATTCGCAACTCAATGGCTATAATTTCTAATTATTCAATTGATCTATTTAAAGAAAGAAAATTATAAGTTATTAACTGAATAATAAGCAAAGTATAAGGATTAAGCTTTAGCAAACCCAATAACGGGTAAAAACTACATCATCACCAACATTCCATATAAATATAATAACCAATTAAACAATTGGCGGACTGAATATATATAATATATACCCATTTAAAAAAAAATTAGAAAACTGTAGAAATTTTGGGAATCCAATTCCAAAGACATACGCGATTGATGATACACTACAGCTTCAACATGAAGGTGGAGGTTGAGGAAGAAATCAAGAGGGAAGAAGAAGGTGGAGGAGGAGAATGTCTTTGTTTTCTTGTTCTTACTATGGAATTTGAAGATTTTGAAGACAATGGAGGAGGAGGAGGAATTGCCGCTGCTGAATTTGAAGCAGATGTAAACCTACTCGATTGGCTTCTCAGTTTCTTCTTCTCTCTGTTCTCTGGTTTCACTTGACGAACCTTCATCTCATTCAATCCCACAGGAAGAACACAGTTGCATAAAAAGCCTATAACGCAACAGCGACTTAGAATTAACCGATTCAATTCTTCCACATTTTACCGATGCAATCATGAAGGTGTTGAGTTCTTACCGAGTCTGGCGAGTCGATTCACCCATCTAGGGATTGGTTTCCCCGTCAATCTGAGACAGACGTCGTTGCAGAAATGGTTACAGTTCTTGGTGATGAGATGATAGGTGTTTCCTGAATATTGTTCGGCCAGTTTCTCCATGAACGATCGGATCTCTTTGGGACTGAGATTCGTTCTTCCGATCAAAATTGATTTTCTGTATGTGAATCCAGGGCACTGCTTTGGTTCCACTTCGAATATCCCCGTCGTCGCCTGCTCGTGTGCTCCAAACGCATATTCAATTCCATGAACTGCAAACCAAATTTCAACCTAAATCACTGTTTATCCCTAAAACCGTTCGTATACAGGAAGAAATTCAGAATCGATTCATCTGCTCCACTTGCTATAAGTGAAAAAGTAGTTCCGATTTCTCAGAGCAATTTGTTAGCTAGATATTTGTGAACCTTCGGCAGCCAAACGAGGTACGATTCCGTTTGGCTACGGAGAAAATTGGAAGGAATCACAGGAAAAACTGATAATCATCTCCACTTTTTCCCATTTGTTATGTTAAGAAACTGATAATCAGAATTCGGAACCATATCAGTACAAAAACAGATTCTCAAGACCTTACATCTTCCTAAATGTTCATAAATTAGAAAATTAGGATATCATTCAGTGAAAAATCAAGATTAATTCTAACGGCTCTGCTCATAGTAGTAATGGAACCATAATCCAACTCTCTACTTTTATGTGTCACTTTCTCAGGAAACAAACACACCGAAAGGCGAGAAAAAAGTGGAAAGCAAAAAGGACAGAAACGTTTTCTCACCTTGAACGCCGGAATGGTAGACACCGAGGCCGAGCCAATAAGCATATCCATTAATCGGCGTTAAATCATAAACATTCAGATAAACCGGAACCGCACCAATCTTTTTCCTACTCGACACTGTCACGATCCTACACAACATCTTCCGCAAATGCTTCCACTTCGTCTTCTTCCCTTGGGGAAAGCAACAGAAGAACCAAAAAGATAACAAAAACAAAAAACGGAATATAATTATACGATCCAGAGAAACGACCGACGCACGGACGACGAACAACCACCGTAATCGATGGCGGAGATGGATAATCGAGAAGGAAATTGAAGGGCAACGGAATCGAATAATCGGAATAACCCTTTTTTTTCTTTGTTTAATTCGTTGGATTGGAATAAGAATGGAGATGAAAAGTGAGAGAAATCGCTTTCAGTTTTTGAGCAGAGGATTCTGATTTCTGCGTCCGCGTGCCTTTTTCTGTTTACTGTTCTCCACTTTAATAATGGCTTCTTGTAATTATGTTTGGGAACACATACTATTATTATTATTTACATTCCACCCTTTTTTTTTTCTTTTGCACTTTTTGGTCCACTTTAAAATTTCAAACTTTTTTTTTATTTCATAAAATTTGAGTTTTATTCCTCCACAGAGAAAAAGAAAAAACAAAAAACAAAATTATACTTTTATCATAAAGTTATTGAGATTAAGATTAATAAGAAAAATAACAATCTTTAAGATATTATATTAAGGGTATTGACTCAAATAATGGTCTTCAAGTGTTGGTGAGTAAATTTTGAACTTATAAGATTTTTTTCCCTTAGAAATGAACTTTTAAGATTAATCTATTTTAATCAATATTTTTTAAGTTTATTTCTTTCTAGTCCTTAAAATTTTAAATTTTTTAACTTTTAAACTTTAAAAAATACCATTATACTCTGTCTTTATTTTTTTTTTCTTTCTAACGAATTGATAATGTGGCATTGAATATTTATACAAACATGATAATGTATTGAAATTATTTAAAATTAATTATATTTGAAATATCATGGACTAAAATAATCTATTTTTATTTTAGATAAAAATTATTTTGAAGTGAAGGCATGGCTGCGAAAAAGTTAGTGGAAGAAATTTTTTAAGAAAATATATCACGGGTATTGTTATGGAGAAAGGAAAAGTGTATTTAAAAAATACATATAATGAATGACAACTTGTGACGCACAAAACAAATTTTTTTAAAATAATCTTTGTGCTTATTTTAAATACAATAAAAGACGAAAAAGGTATATCAAATTTATTTTTTTAAAAAAAGTTTGTGAAATGGATTCATAATTACCAATAAAAATATATATATAATATATTGTATGTGTTAATAATTAATTTTGAGGGCCTTATTTTCATTTAAAAAGGCATGGTTGGGATTTGTCAAGGAGTGGAAGCTAACTGGAACATGTGGTCGCGGGCCCCAGTTTTCTTTTATCCATTTGCTTTTTTTTCCCTTAAATTTAAAATTTAAAATGAAAAAAAAAATTGTGAAATGAACAATTTTGTACTTCGTATGTTCTTTATCTTGAATAATCCCTTCGTTGAAAAAGCTTTTAGTTTGTTGGACAGCTATTTTGTTCTATGTGTTTTGGATTTGGAAAATTTGTTTGTTTGACAATAAATATCTTTCCTTTCTTAGATACACTTTTTATTTTTTTAAATGTTCCAACCAACAACTGACACATAAAAGATGGCGATATGGTGCTAAACTTAACACAATTCTATGATTTTGAGAGGAGTTTTTTTTGAGTTGGACTAGATGGACCAACTCGACTTGGAACAACTAAATCGAGGCATTTGACCCATGTCATTGTTTTGACCTCACTTAAGAAAAATCTAGTACAGTAATTTCACCCCTAATATTTTTATAAAAAAAATTAATTTCATTTTTCTTTTCAATAAAACACTAAACCTAATATTTATTTTTATTTTACTTATGCACATAATTTTTGTCTCACCGTTTTTTTATTGATTTCTTTCTACACATTGTTCTATTTAATCTTTTTTATTTTTTATCTATAATTTAGTCTCTTTTCACTATCTCCTTAATAAATTATAAAATGCTCTTCTTTAAATTTTTATTCTTTAGAAAATAAACTTTCTTTTATTTGAATACAACAAAATGTCTCTAGAAAACAAAACTAAAATGGAGTATTGTAGGAGGGTTTCACTTCTATTTTCAGAATTTACTAATAGAAAAGAAAAACATTGAAAATATACTTGAACAACTAAATTATTTGTATGTATGAGTAGATAATAATTAAAAAAAGTCATTCTAATGGGACCTTTATACAACATATGGTCCATGCAAAAAAAGATTATGAAATGTCATTTTCTTAAGAGTTGAATCTCATGGATTTCTCAAACTAGTTATGACAGCCCTTTGATTTGGCTCCTCACAAAGCTGTGAATATGGAGTTTTTTATAATTAAATCAAAATATTTATATTGAAATGTCCCTTTTTTCTAGAAATCCTAACATTATAAATGTCAATTTAACATGACTATTTACCTTATCACCTTATCAGTACTTAACTTCTTCTTTTTGGAACCAACTTGAGCTTAATTCAGTTAGACATGTATCTCCGACAAAAATGATTGGAGGTTTGAATTTCCAACCTCACATGTCAATGTACTAAAAATAAAAATGAATCTTATTCTCTTAGTTATTTTAATTTTGGATTAAAGGTTTTTGCATTATATTATGGATCAAATCTTGGACAAAAGTTTTAAATTCCTTAAATTCTTTTATAAGAGAATTATAGTGTGACACTTTGAGAATTGGAACCTCTAAGTTCAAATTAGGAATGAGTAATTTAATTTCATATCTTAATATTTGTTCATTTTTAAAAAATGATTGGTTCTTCTTATTCATTATTTTATCAAGTACATTCTATTTGAATCAATAAAATTAAAATCTTGAATCAAGAGAAGAAAAGAAAATAAGAGATCAAATTACATCAAATATCGTCTTATAAGAGATCAATTACATCAAATATCGTCTTTATGTGTAATACGTTTAGGTGATTGTAAAGACCCAATTGAAAGAAAGGATCGCTTGAAAAAAGAGTGCTAGGATGTGGTTCTTGAAGAATCAATTTTCATGAATAGAAGAATTTCAATGCACTTAATAAAGTTTGATAATATTCAAATGTAGATGTAGTTAGAAAATCGAGTGGATATATACTTTAGCCTAATTTATATCATATTTATCTGATAAATCTTTTGGATTATATTGAGAAGACAGTATTTCAAATATAAGCTTTTAAAAATAACATTAGGAATTATCTAAATATTATTAATTAAAAAAATGTAATAATTTAATGTCAAATTTTAAATAATTAAGCAGAGAAGACTTGGAAATTCATCCTCCCTCTAAAGTATGAGAAGCAAAATATTCCAATGGCCTTTTTCTTTTATGTGAGTTGGAAAGTTGGATTCTCCATTATTTGGCTTTAATTTTGATTGGGGTTGGTGGGTTTGCAAATCATCTAATTTTAAATAGGTTTTTGTTAATTGGTTTCATGTTAATTTATTTTCTATACTATTTTATTATTAGTTTATTAAATATTTGTTTCAACGATTAGAATAATAAGTTACAACGATTCTAAGATGCTTGAAAACAACAATTCTTCGGCTTTAATATAAACTACATAGACGAGTACTAAATAATAATAATAAATAAATAAATTAGACGGGCCACTTTTTAAGTTTACATTTTGGAAAGAGAAAATAATAATATTTCAATTTTCATTCAAGTACTACGTTATGGGGATGACTATAATGTTTAGAAAAGAAAAAAGAAAAAAAAAAAAACTTGACGTGAGAACAAAAAATAAAAAATTTGATTGTGTTGTTTCTAAAATTTCTATGAAAATGGGGAGGAAAAACAAGAATAATAAGTAAAATGTTATTTTTATTAAAAACTAAAAACAAGAAATAAGAAAGAAAAACATTACTATCAAACTCTTTAATTTTTTAATTTTTTATATATTTGGCTTATATTGTGAGAGCATTATTCTATGAAACATGATATATTTAAAAGCTTAATTTTTAAAAAATAAAAAATGAAATAAATAATTATTAAGCAAACCCTTATTAAACAGCCCTAGTTTTTCATGGTTTGAAAACTCATCTAAAATCTTAAACTACTTGATTTTCTGTTTTAGTGTATTTTTCTTTTTCTTTTTCTTTTAAAAGATATCAGGTTTCCATTATTCCTGAATATTTATTCTTCAAAAACTTTCATGAAGTTTATATTCTCTTTGTAAAAGAAGTTTTAAAGAACAAACAAAATGAATTACCGAGTACTTTTAAAGTAAATAAAATAAAAAACAAAACTAGAAGGAAAAGAAAAAAAAACAGTTATCAGATATCACATTTTTCGCTCTCAAATAATTATTAAAAAGAATTATATAAACGAGTAAATAAGAATCAAACAAAATAGGGTCCTTAGTAATCAGATCATGTTTGAGACACTAATTTAGGATAGAAAAACATCCTTTTGCTTTTGCTTTTCGCAAGAAAGTATGAAGATTAAAGATAAAAAAGAAAAATTTTATTCTTTAAAGACGTTTGTAAAGCTTATTTTCTTAAAAGAAAGAAGATTTGTTAAAGAACAATCGGAATGGCTTAACTAATACTTTTAAAGTAAATAAAATAAAATAAAATCATTAAAAGAAGAAAAAAAGCACAAAGTAGTTCAAGGATGGCCAACATGAACATAAATGATATTAAATGGGTTTTTATTTCAGGTTTGAATTCATTGATTGAGATATATAGTAACGCTAATTATCAAGAATTTCTACTCTTTTGATATGGTATATTTTTACTGGTTTATTTATGATGCATTAAATAGATGAATTGTTATTACTAAATTTTTTTTAACCCATAGCAGTATATGTCATATTAGAACGTCCATTTGAACTTGTATGGAGTGATGTGTAGATAAATATATTTCATACAATATAATAAGATTTGAAAATACTTTGGTGATAATTTAGAAATAATATTAAAAGTGTGACAGGTAGGATGAGATGAATTTGCCCCCAAAAAGGCCAAAATGGGAAGAGGTCAGAATCATGGAAGTGATGTGGCTTTAAAATTGGCCAACTCTATTCAAACATACAAATGAACTTCCATTTGCCAATGCCATGTGATGAAACAAGATATGGGCTGAGATTTGTATCCAAACTTATTACATCTCTATCAGAATTGACACTTTTGATCCCTACCAACTTTTGGGCACTAAATGCCTTTCTCGTTCCCGTTCCTTATTTAACTCTCGTTCCACAAAATTTTAAAATTTTAAAGAAATTTCTAACGCGTAATTCTTAATAATGTGAATATATCCTCATTTACAAAGGAAAAAAAATGCTTAGAAATTTTGTAACAAATATATATGATGGAGAGCAGAGA